CTGATCACCATGTCATCACTGCCAGCAAATTGGTTCATGTTAAGTCCTATGTGCTTCTCATTCCATTTTTCCTTTTCTTTTGTATCTTCTAAGTAATATTCCTTTTCTAATACTTCTCTGCTTTTATGCAAAATACTATGTCAGGCCAGTTTTTCTCTTCTACCAATGTACCAATTATAGTGGAAAGCAAGTGTAATTTTTTTCCTCATTGTCTGTTTTGATTTGTTTCTCTTTGATTAGGACCTGTTGTGGGGGGGGAGTGTGTATGTGTGGTGGTGGTGGTGGTGGTTGGGGGAATCACCATGTTAGTGATCTGGAGATATTTTGGAAGCCTGGGGCTTTGTATAATTTGATTTTTCTTGTTTTTTAAGATTATAAAAAGGAGTGCTATTTTTCTTGCTTTATGTTAGCTAGCTATATGAATAACTTTATCTTAATCTTGATGCCAGATTTAGCACTTTTCCACTGCAGCAAAGCTTAGAAAAAGAATACATTATTAGTTAGGAGACTTGTATCTAATCATGGTTCTAGTACTAGTTAGATAATATTGAATATTGATTTTACTACTTATTCGTTATATTTTATTTATGAACAAAGTAATGATGATTGACTAATACCGACTGCAAATCTAGGTACCAGACAGGCCAGTTCGCTTTACTCTGAAACCTCGAGGGGAATGGGCAGGTGCAGCAGGAGATGAAAACAGAGCAAGCAGTGGAACCAAAATAATCCTCCAAGAAGGTCAGGCAAAACTGAGTTTATGAATTTAGAAGGCAGATTCTGCAAGGAAATAAAACTCATTCTGTTTTTTCCTTTCCCAATCTTTTCAGGTTTGCCTCAAAATTACCAAAAGACTAAAGGGAATACAGGAAATATCTACAATCAGAGGTGATTACCAGGGAGAGATGAAAGATTGTGTAGGTTTTAACTTTAGACATGAGAAGGGGACTTTGCTTCCTCCAGGCCTGGATTTGGTACCACATTTTTGTGCTCTCTTAGCACCATGAGCTCACTTTTGTCTTAATTCTCATCACTGTGTGATCATTTCCTACTTACTTATTTCCCAACTTAGATGACAATATTCTTGATAGCAGGATTTTTTTTTTCACTAGATATTTCTATTACAAACAGTTCCTGACATATACAAGGTGCTCAGTGATTATTTTCTTAATAATGTGTTATATGGATATTGAAAAATAATAACCAATAGAACACAATAAATAAATTCATCGTAAGCAAAAGAAAACTCATGAAAATATTTTTGTGTATTCTATGTGTGAGAGATTGAATAAGATAGAAAATGCTTGTTAAGAGAAAGTTGACAAGCTGTATTTTACTTATACTCTATGTTATTCAGGAGAATAATTAACCATAATAATAATAATCATAATAATAATAATTTAACAATTTCTGCTGCTATTCACTTAGAGCGCATTGTATAGATTTGCCCATATGAGAAAAACAGTTTGATTGTAATTTAGTTTTTAGTTTGACATTCAATTTAGTGGTCTTATTTGCAACCAGTTTTTTCCTCTGCCCAAGGTATCTTAATATATATGACATATCTTACAATTTCAGCTTCTTATACCTTGGTTTCAGTTACTTTGGAGGATTTCTGCCTGCTCTTTTAAGGTGCTCCCCTGGAAATCTCCAAAGTGAAATTCATATTTGCTACATAGCATGGATTTTAAGCTGGATCATCCCCATAATGGCCGATATATTTGGTAAAAATATTTCTAGCCATTTGTTCAAGTTGACATGACAGCTGACCAGATACTGGGTATTATTTCCATTGAGTAGGGACTGCATAGACAACCAAAATTTTTCACAGAAAGTTTTAACAAAATTTATATACACACACACACAGATAGTCTGCTCTACCACTGTATTCCTTTAGGAACTGAGGATGAAAACTGAGATAATAGAAGTCTCATAGTGGTTTGAAGTTGAAGGAGAATAGAAATTCTTGAAATTCTCTTTGAGTGGAGGAAAATAAGGATAAAATTTACTCTCATTCCTTTATTTCTTGAAAACATAGGTCATTTGGCAAGTTCTTCCCAGCTGTGTAAAACCCTCAAACTGTATGCAAAGCTGGCTTGGAAAAAGTCATGACTGAGGTTTCCTGTATTTTCAGTTCCCTTAAGGATCAAACATGCATGGTTACAGAAGATTTTAAGTAAACTAAAAACCGGGTGATCATTTTATAATCAATGGGGAATGAATAGTAAGTAGCTAAGGCAGTCAGCAGTTGATTAAGAGAGAGTGAAAAGATTTTTGAGGGAGTAGCTCATTTTTTAGAAGATGCTACAATCATTATATTTTAATGTGAAGTGGGCAGATAGAAACAAAGAGCATATTAAGAAAGTAAAGAGTGATTTATTTAATTCTTACGCTGTCTTCATCTCTCAAAAAGCCTCGTCTCCTGAAAAAAGAAAGCATAATGTAATTGTGTCTGTCTGTCTGTCTATCTATCTATCTATCTATCTGATCTATCTACCAAGGCAGGGTCTAGGAGGAAAGGAAACAAAAGATAAGGAATGAAATCTCTCTAGGTAGATATGTAAAAATATGTAGAATGTTTAACCGTGAGTTGAACATAAAGGACATTACTTAACATGAGAACCAAGAAGAATTTTGATTTTTGGAAGTAGGTATAATAAAATATAGATAAAAACAACAAGGTCAGGAAGTGAAGAGAGAAAGGGAGGGATTTATTTTTCCTTTTGTTTCTCTCTCACTTGCACGTGGGAGATGTACTGGCACTGGAGATATTGTGCTCTCGCACTCACTACTGACAACTGAGCGCTAGAGCACATTTATCAATTTTATATTATTAAGTATAATTGAAATACCAGTATAAGTGACCTATTTAAAACTCAGGCCTTGGGAGTTGGGAAGAGCTAAAACTAGCAACGTTCTTTGAAACAATGGTAGATATGAGCACAGGTCTTTCATTTTGGGCTCCAGTTGAAAGTACAAGCAGGACATCAGTCTTGCTCATGTCAAGAGGAGGTGTCATTATAGCACTTTGACTTTATGACAGCGCTGGAGAAGGGAAGGGAAAAGTGAGAATCTGACCCTGTGAATGTGCACATACACAACCCTTTCCGAAGCCCTCTTTAGTGTGGGGCATTGGTAGAGTTGTTGAAGAAAAATGGAAAGGACTCATTTCATTTGTTTCTGTCCATTGCCTGTCCTCCGTATTCTTCCTATCTCCCATTGGAAATGTGGAACTAGAAGCTCTAAGTTGTCCAGCTGGCCGAAGCAGGACTTTCTCTCTGTCTTTGCTAATAGCAGGGTGACCAAAAGCTTCCTTGTGGCCCTCAAGTGAGAGGGGAAGAATCTCCATAGTTTGGGATTTTATTGATATTGACCAAGCAGCTCAGTCACACGCTGTATTAATCTGCTTTTTAAAAATACTGGTAGCTAATAATAATAGCTGCAATTTATTGAGTTCTTATGTCAAGATTGTGCAAAGTGCTTTTGCATGCATTACATACATTATTTCAGTTAGTCCTACAATAATTATTGTAAGGTAGGTGATATTATCTTCATTCTACAGATGGGAAAACTGAAAGTTGGGGAAATTATGTAACTTGTCTAAGACAACAATGTTAGTAAGTGGCAGTGGGGATTTCTGCTCAAGCCTGTCTCTAAAGCCAGTCTACGTATGCACTGCTCTATACTGTCCAACAGAAGAGGCAGGAGCCTCTGCAAACGTTTTCATATTTATTAATTTGGGGATTCATGAGCATTCAGGATCTCTTTTGAATGTTAAAGTTTTGTTGCATGAAGAATTGTTTACTTTATCCTTGAATTATTTCCAAACCCAAATTCTCATTTCCTTAACATTATGATATATATTCCAGCTCTCACCTTCAGTGTCCTTTTTCAGAAGCTCTTGGTATTCCTGCCTTTCTTATGAAATATTCTATGCCTAGAATCCTGTCATGGTGAGGTCTTCCCTTTCTTAAAGAGGTTTTGAAATCCAATTTCTTACTTCCTTCAAAAAATTTTTTCTGAAAAAGTAAAAGGTGATTTCTCCTGTCTCAAAATATTCTAAAAATAGAATTTAATTTTTCACCTATTTCTGTAATGATTTTATTAACATTTTCATGAAGACGCAAATGTTTTAATTTTTGCTTTTTCTTCAAAGTTTGTACTCTTTTCCCATCTTTTTATGTCCTTTTTGTCTTTATCTTTGTTTGGATATCTATTTATCAGACTGACTTTATTAGCTTGTTTTCAATATAATTTTTAATTTTGTGATAGTTATTATATAACAAATGACTTAGGCAATTATGCATATCTATTAGCCTCAGTTTCCTCACTTGTAACGGAGGGAAATGGCAGAATTTCAGGGCTCTTACAAGATTCACATGGCTTTTTAAAGTGTCATTTGTAAACGCTTACTTGCTAAATATTTTTAAGGATCTTAGTGACGTTAATAATAAAGACCTACAGAATGTACTCAATATTTTAGACTAAATGTATTCTTCAGGAAGTTAAGCCAAATGATAAATTCCCAAATAAAGTATGTATATGTTTACTTGTGTACCATAGACTTTATTCTCACATATGGTTTATGGTTAGTAGTGATAATTGTTTATAAACCTTTTGAAGAAATCTGTGAGCCTCACAGGTACAGCAAGAGCACTGAATGGTGGGGGAGGCGGGGCACACCCTTGGCTGCCAGTGCCCCGATGGCCTGCCCTCAGTCCCTGCCTTCCTGGCTGCGGTGCTTTGCGCTCTGAGGCCAAGTCCTCCTTTCCAGAGCCACAGGCGGTGGACAAGTTTTAGACCCTAAATATGAGGTTTTAAAATACTTTTTGTTTTTCCTTTTCACCCCACATGGAGTTTGCCTGGTGATTCGATGAAGGGAAGCACTTCTACTTTTTCAGTTTAGCATGATAAAATATGCTCATTTAGCTTGTACTGCTTTATCTTATTGTTAATATACATTTTGTAGAATTATCCAAGAATATATTTTTAAATTCCAGATTTCCTCAAGTTGCTGAAATAGAATGTGGATTTGATCCAGATGCAGAACTAGGACACTGAATCGTAAGAGATACTGTAAAAGTTTAAGGACAATACTTACGGAGAAAAAAAGTTTATCTTCTTGCTATTAAGTAGTACACTGCAAATGTGAGATTAATTTCTTTTGAAAATGTTTTAAATAAAGTCCTTGTCTTATGTTAATACATAGATTCATGTACACGCCCACACCCACACATATAATTTTCTTTTGATGATTTCAGACCCCTAATATAAAAACATTAAATAAATGTTTTCCGTTGTATTTTTATAATTCATGAATTAGATTTATTTTATCTTATTATATAAAGATATGATTTCATTGTTAATAATTTTCATAGTATCAGATTTTAAAGTGAAGAACATTCAGAATTCATGCTTACTAATACTATTCTCTAAATGATTGGCAAACATAGCCAGAGGTGGGTAAAGAGCTACAAAAAAAATGCCATAACAGACTGCTGAACATTAAATTTAGTGATAAACACTTTTAACACACTTGATGGTCATATTTTCAATATATTTTAATTGTTAATGTTTGGTTATGGGTAATAAAACTTGGACCACTAAATGTATGAGGACTATTAAGTTTAGTTCAGTGGGTTGTTGAACATGCAAAGTCTAGAGCAGTGGCAGGGAGTTTGCTAACAGTACAGACTCCACAGTTCCAGTGCTGAGAGCCATTCAGTAAGTTTCAGATGAGGCTCAGTAACATCATTCTAAACAGACCTCCCAGCGATTCTGCTTTACAGCCATGTCCAAGGACTGTTGGCAGCCCATCATGAAGCTGCGAGGCAATAGGGCCAAGAAGGAGAGGGTCAAGGAGATCACGTGTAGATCCAGGGGGTGGGACAGAAATGTAAAGTGTATTACTTTGCATATATGGAAATATATGTCTTTTTGTATGAAATTGCATTTCAGTGCCTACTATAAATTTAAAATATGTATTTTTTTATTTACTCATATTTTTGGATCAGAAAATTGAAATATGTGTTGATATTTCAGGGGCAGGATGGTTCTATTATGCTTAAAAGTTGTCCTGGACTGTTTGACACAGGAAATGCACAAGTACTTTCTGCAGTAGTCATGAATCATTGTGACTCCATAACAACTTTGCAGGCAAGGAAACTGCCTTCAGGCCGTCAAATGAGTTGAATCACTACCACACTCAAGTCACCATCACTAACAGGTGATAATATAGTTTTATCTATTGGAAATTGTTTTGTTTTTGAATAATTTTTTGGGTAAATTCTGGACATTGCATAAGTGATATTTGGCACTCTAATTTCTTATGTTTGGGGAAATATAATAAAAGATGAACAGGATAATAAAGATTGAGCTCCACATAAGGATAGGCCTGAGGGAAATACAAATAGTTATAAGAAAGGCATAAGCAGAGGCTGGCCCCGTGGCCGAGTGGCTAAGTTCTCCGCTGCAGGCGACCCAGTGTTTTGTCGGTTCGAATCCTGGGCGCAGACATGGCACCGCTCATCGAGCCACTCTGGGGCAGCGTCCCACATGCTACAACTGGAAGGACCCACAAGTAAGAATATACAAATGCACCGTCTTTTAAATCAAGAAGAATTAATGACCTTTTGATTATGTTTAAACTTTGTAAATGTCTCTGTTGAAATTTTATTCGTGGTTGTACAGTGGATCATAGAGAATGGATATTCAGGGAAATTCTGGTTAAATTGTATTATCGATTTGAATTTTAATTCATGCATTCTAATAAACTTTTAGGTTTAATTTTAGAATATTTATTTTGGAGTCATCATGTATTTTAACCAGTTTTACTGTATGTATAGCCTTTGAGGAAGAATCAGATAACCCATCAGCAGTAATTGCAGTACCTGGCATAGAAGGATGAATTGGCCATATTTCTCAGGACATGAAAGAACATTTGCACCAACTTAGAACTGCAAGGAAAACAAGGCTTAAGCACTTTTCCCACCATTAGTGATAATTCATGTGAAAATTCTGATTCTGATTGAAATATAGATGATGTTTTATTAGTCAATGCCAAAATGAATCTGACAAATTAACATACCATTTTAGCATTCCAGACATAGTAATGTAATTTTGATTATTTTTATTGTTCTAGAGTTGATTTGAATTCTAGGGATAGTCCTCTAAAAGTTCTTCTTTTAATTTGATTCTTATCAAGTTATGTAACTTTTGACTCTTCAGTGTGTTATGCAGAAAACACTATAAGTACAGTTGTGAACATGTTTGTGATTTAAGTGTATACGTTGCAGAATGTTTCCAGATTAAATGACTTCATGCTCACCTTTTCACAACATTATCTTTTTTTTATTTAATTTTGCTTTGCATATTTTTTCTATCTCAATGAAATACGTTTGTCCTTTTCCTTCCATTGTTGGTTTAAAGCCACTTTGTTTTCACTCTCTGTTATGACTCTGACTTGATTCAGAATAGGGAAAAATAGATAAATGTGTATAACACTGATTGTTGCTATTCATTGTTCTAGTAAATTTGATGATGAAGTTATAAGGTATAGTAATGAGATGTTAAGTATTATCTTTTTAGAAGTCCTGAGTTTTTCATCTTAATGAAAGAGACAATGTAGACTTTGTATGCAGTTTGCTTACCTAATTTTATCACTTTAGTTAAAACAGTTTTTCTTCTTACCAGAAAGAAATGAGAGGGCATACTGCAGAATTCATCAAAAAACTATGACAAAAAATTCATTTCAAAATTGTTTAAAACTAGATTGGGCCAAATTGGTTTATAATAGGTTAATAGATAAAATAATCGTCTTCCTCATCTCTGATAGTTTTAAGGTTATAATTTTTTTTTTTAAGATTTTATTTTTTTCCCTTTTTCTCCCCAAAGCCCCCCAGTACATAGTTGTATATTCTTTGTTGTGGGTCCTTCTAGTTGTGGCGTGTGGGATGCTGCCTCAGCGTGGTTTGATGAGCAGTGCCATGTCCGCGCCCAGGATTCGAACCAACGAAACACTGGGCCGCCTGCAGCGGAGCGCACGAACTTAATCACTCGGCCACGGGGCCAGCCCCAAGGTTATAATTTTTGAAAGTAAAACTCACCTCCTGCCTTTTCTCAGCTACAAACTGTATATATCATAATTAGGGCAAAAAGTCATCTTTTCTGGGGAAGTCAAGTGTGCTTTTTCCTAATTTGGGGAAGGAAAAAGACACACCCAATTAAAATCTAGATTAGAAGTATTGAAGAGCGGTAACTGAGAGTTTTGTACAACAGCATAGTTAATATAAGTGAAGTTTTATCTGGTAGAAATAAGAACTGAGGTGGTGCAGTTTTCACTTAATTTCCCTCTACTTTAACACTCTATTAGTCATAAGCAGAAGTGGATGTGCTGATATACACATGTCCTGATTATCCCTAATGAATCCATGATGATAGAAAGCAGACAGGAGTAGAAAACTTTGCTTGCAGCAGTAGTTTTAGCTTTCATTGAATAATCAGATACCAGGTAGATTTCCGAACTGTATTTTTAAATTAGGAGGAGTATACAGACTGGGTAACAATAACTTTATTCTGAAATCCTCAGGATATATGATTGGCAATTAAGTGGAGTTTAGAGCATGGTCATAACGTGAATTGAGCATTACTTGTAGAGTAAGTGGGCATTCATTCACTCAATGAATATTTATTGAGTATATACTCTTTGTGTTTGTTGAATGCCTAGGGGACCTTATAAACTAGGAGTTGTTGAGTTTTACTGTGTGCAGATGTACTACTTTATATGAAAGTTTTAGGAGTAGAAGGAAATGTAATCCAGGAGGTTAAAACCAAAGGGAGCTAATTCACAGAGGAAAACTGAAACAAGAGCAACAGAAAGGATAAAGAGAAAAGATAGTATGTAAAGAAAAATGGAATATTACCTGGTTACACTGTAACTTGCTATTTATTTTAATAATTTGTTGATATTAACTCTGAACAAATACTTTATATTTTATAGGTAAAATAATTTTACTTGAGAAAGATGGCAAATGTAAAATGGCTTTTCATATTGTGTTAATAAGATAGGAATTTCACAAAGTTATTTACTTAGAAACATAGCAAGTATGATGCTTTAAAAAGTATCTATTAATTTAAATGCATATTAATTAAGACAGAGTTGAATAAGAATTTATAACTTTCTTTGGAACCCTTTATAGTGCAAATATATAGCATAAAAATATGAGAGTTTAAAATACTTAAGAGAACTTTTTTTCTTTTTTGAGGAAGATTAGCCCTGAGCTAACATCCACCACCAGTTGTCCTCTTTTTGCTGAGGAAGATTAGCCCTGAGCTAATGTCTGTGCCCATCTTCCTCTACTTTGTATGTGGGATGCCTGCCACAGCATGGCTTGACAAGTCATGTGTAGGTCCACACCCGGGATCCAAACTGGCGAACCCTGGGCCATGGAAGCAGAGCATGTGAACTTAACCACTACACTGCTGGGCCAGCCCCTTACGAGAACATTTTAAGTAGGCTTCTCAAGCCATTTATATATTGACATGCTTATTATAAATCTTTAGTATTTAAAGCAGAACTCTCCTAGCTGAGTCCTCTTAAAGTTTTCTCCTAATTGTCTTGAGTTGATGAGGTTTATGGTAGTTTCTACTTTTCACAGTCAATTTATCACTCTGCTTACTTCTGTTTCTGTTTCACTTCCCCCCACCCCCCAGAGACCTACTTATTCATCACTTTCTATCAGCCCTCAATTTGGCATCCAACTTCATTTATTTTACTGACATACAATGTCCATAGGGGACAAGCTTCCTATTGGGAGCTGGGGTGTGTTGATGAAAGCACTCGTTTTTGGTTGTTGTTCTTTAATTAGACTGTTAGTTTTTATGTTGAAGTGAAAAAGAGAGATCTTTATTAATTCAGTCATGGAGATGTATTAAAAAAAGATTTAATGACCTAAAAGGTGTAAGTGGCTAGAAATAGGAGGTGATATAGGTCATTAGTTTTCAAACTTTACCACACATTAGATTTAACCTAGGAAATTTTTAAGACTCCCTACCCCTATACCAATTAAATCAGAATTTTTTGGGGGTAGGACCTGGGCATCAGTATTTCTGAGAACTCCCCAAGAGATTCTACTGTGCAGCTAAATTTGAAAATCAGTGATATATATGTGGGGTTGGAAAGGTTTTTGTTTTTTCTTTTAATATGTGACAGGATACTATATGTGGCCCACCAAGCCTAAAATATTTACTGTATAGCCCTTTACAGAAGTTTGTTGACCCATGATGTGGAATTATTGTTTCCTCAGACCAGTAGCATTGGTATCACATGAGAGCTTGTTAGAAATGCAGAATTTGAGGCTCTGTCCCAGACCTGCATCTTAACAAGACTCTTAGGTGAGTCACATGGACACTAAAGCATGAGAGCAGTGACACACATCACAGTGGTGATAATATTTACTACTAAGGTCCCTGATACTTTTCTTTACTGATGTAGATAATCGAGATTGACTACAGAGTTGACACATTTTGAAATTTTATAATCCTTAACCAAGGATTATTTTCATATTTCTTAACTCACACACAGTACTTTCCTAGAGTAATTGATTATTACTTGTTCCATGGAGAATCTAATTCCCCTTTTCTGGAATCTGGACTGGCCTTAGTGACTTTCTTGATCAATAGAAAGCAGCAGAAATATCATTCCAGGATCTCTGAGGCTGGTGATAAGCAACTTTGCAGCTTCTGTCTGGGCTCCATGAATACTCCTTCTGGGAGTCCTGAGCACCACAGAAGATGTATGGCTACCCTGACAGTGCCAACCTAGAGAGGCCACATGTAGGTGTTCCATATGACCATTTCAGTTGAGCCCAGCTTTTCAACCATCCCTCCTAAGACACCAGCCACATGAGTGGAGACGTCTTGGAACTTCCAGACCAGTCTACTGCCAGCTGAATATCACCAGGTGACTTCTGTCGATGCCATGTGGAAGAGAAGAATCATCCAGCTGAGTCCCCGATCCACAAAATTGTGAGATATAAAATGATTGTTTTTTCTTAAATCATGAAGTTTGGGGTAGTTTGTTACTTAGCAATAGATACCCAGACCACATACATAGAACATTTTTAAACTTTTATGGTACTGGAGAAGAATTATTACAAATTATGATATAAACTTTTAACTTAAGTTTATCCTGATTTTAAGATTGGTCATTTTATATAAGTATCCCAGAGATGTAGTGTTGTGATTCATAAAATTTAGCGAAAGGGCAGCTGAGCATACTCTGTGTGATGGCTTTGTGGTATGTCTACTTGGCTAAACTAAACTACATGCCCCATAATTTCCTTTTCAATATGTTTCTGGATAAATGGGCTACAGGAATTATTCTTTCACAAG